TGAAATGAAGACCTCTAAGTAAGCAAAGTAGATGAAAAAGACACTTGGAACCCAGATGTGTAGGTTTCGACCAAAAAGGTGTTGAAAGGACGACTTTCAAGTAAGCAAAAAATTAAATAGAAAATGAACACTTCCAAGTTTTTCTATTCTTCGGCGTATATTTAATTAATTGAAAAATGAATCTGCGTCTTTGTCCTTGTGGCTGTGGCTGTGTTTGGGGTTGTGTGCGTGTTTGTGATTGTGGCTGTGGTTGTGTGTTTGTGATGGTGTTTTTGGTTGGGTGTTTGTTGCTGTGTTTGTGGTGTGTGTTTGTGATTGTGTGTTTGTGGCTGTGTGTTTGTGGTTGTGTCTGTGATTGTGCTTGTGGTTGTGTGTTTGTGGTTGCGTTGTGATTGTGTTTGTGGCTGCCCTTGTGGTTGTGTGGTTGTGATTGTGTTTGTGGCTGCGTGCTTGTGATTGTGTTGGTGGTTGTGTGTTTGTGGCTGCGTGTTTGTGATTGTGTTTGTAGTGTGTTTGTGATTGTGTTTGCGGTTGGGTATTTGTGATTGTGTGGCTGTGGTTGTGTGTTGTGGTTGTGTTTGTGGTTGCGTGCTTGTGATTACGTGTTTGTGGTTCTGGAATGTGTTTGTGATTGTGGTTGTGGTTGTGTGCTGTGGTTGAGGTCCAGCAGGGAACACTTGGGCCTGGAGCTCGTGGTTGAGGTCCCGCAGAGAACACTGGGCGTGGATGGTCGCGGTTGAGGTCCGGTGGGGAACACTTGGGTCTGGAGCTCGCGGTTGAGGTCCGGCCGGGAACACTGGGCGTGGATGGTCGCGGTTGATTGAGGTCCGGCGGAGGAGGCGGAGGAGGACGAGGCGGTGGAGGAGGCGGAGGCGGAGGAGGAGACAGGGCTGACGTAAAATCTAACAACCCTCACCTGACAGGTGGGGAATTACACCAGCAGTGATCCTGAAACTGCAGCAGCAACTTGATGTTTCTTTTTGCCACCGAAGCTTGAAGTTTTGGCCACCAGTCTTGAGCCATGGGAAACAAAGGAGACAAAGGTAGACGAAGCAGAATCATCTCAGCCCAGCACGCAGAACATCCAGAAGAGCCATGGCAGGCAAAGGAAGACAAAAGAATACAAAAAGGCAAGAAATCATCTCGGCCCAGGATCGTTTCTATGCAAGAATTGAGAACCCCTCACAGCAAAGCTGTTTGGGCCCTGTTTGGGGAAGAAAGAAAAACATCAATAATATCAAAGAATTCTCTTTAATTCTCTTTAATTATCTCCAGTTCAGTCTCGTCCAGACTCAACACGTGCCTTGTTCGAGCTTCTTAGGCCCCATCTCTTGGCCTCGTAGCACGCCCGTCTACTCGATCGAGCGATGGGATCCGACAGGTCGCTCTCGGCCGAAGAAGGACCGAGAGCGACCAGCGGTGCTCAGGTGGTTCTGAGGGCCACACTAAGTTTTTGAGTCAAGAGGTGCGCATGGACAAGCCTGGCTGGACCGAACCAAGGGGAGGACGGACCCCGAAGAGTTCCAGAAACCAGGTGAAACGATGCAATAAACTCTTTCTGCAGTAGTAACAAGTGCCACGCTAGTAGTAACAAGTGCCTTACTAGTAGTAACAAGAAGCTAGTAGAAACAAGTGCATCGCTTCTAGTAACAAGTGTCTTTCTGCTATCCTGCAAGTTCGACTGGACGCGACCAATCATTGCGATGCATGTCTGTGTGTATAAGAAGAGACCTTGAGTAGCTTCTCGAACATCTTCAATCTACAAATCTACAATGCTATCCTGTTCTCTTTGGCAGGGGACCCTGTGGCGGACAATCAAGAAGGCTGCACAGTAAATTCACTGCCACATCATCCTCAGTCTTGGCCTGAGCAACAAACGGGCAATGTGCGCTTTCATCTGGTTTGGAAGCCAGGCAGTCATGAGGCCACTACAACTGCTGCTGCCCTGTGAAGAGCAGATCGACCCTTTTCCAAATACCACGAAGCGCGCTGCTTCGGTTTCTGCCTGGAGGATTCTTCTTGTGAGCTGGATCAACCGCAAAAAGATACAAAAAGAGTACAACATCATGGCCTTCCATGAGGAAAAGCATTGAGCTTGATCTGCACCTGCTGAGACAGCCACCCAAAATGCTCAACATAGGACACGTTTGAAGAAGTTGGTAGTGTTGCTTCCTGCTAAAATGTCTGCCTCAGCCATGGCCAAGTGCGCTTGAGCTGCGAGGATTGCTGCTTGCCTTGGGTATGAATAGGTTCCTTTCAGGTCTGGACACTGGGGTTTCCTTCTCCAAGTCTGAGTAAGCAGGTTCGACGGCAAATGTGATTGACACACTTGTCCCAAATAAAAGCATCCGATTGATCTGCTGGTGTTGTTTGTGCCCCAATGCATGGTTCTGTAGAACATTCCAGAGTTTAGCTCTCAGGTCACTCAGGTCTCAACCATTCCAAAGGAGGATTGCCTAACAAACTTCCAGAGGACAAGCCTGACACTGATTGGTAACAATGTTCAGGCCCAGGCAATGAAAACGCATGTTGTTTCGTTGTTCTGAGGCTTACCAAACGGGAGATCCAAACACCGAGAGGATTCTGCGACGCACTGCGAGAGGAGATTGTCGGACGCGCCTTCTGGAATTAACTCGGCAGCCTGGCCCAGCCTGACTCTTGCTTCAACATTTTTACACAAGGATCTCCCATCTTTGAAGTCTCAAAATGGGTGAAGTCTCTTACAAGGTGTTTGTGTGTCTGTGCGCGTCTCAAAATTGACTCTTTGTGAAGAAGAGTTTATCTACGTTCTCTACTCTGCGATGATACTCTAACAATCGCAAAGGTGTAAGAAGGTGTTCTCTACTTTTCGAGAGCCTCAACAAAATGATTCCTGAAAACCGGTCCAAAGAGCTCCGCTCTAAGTTGCAAACATCTCAAGCTGTGCTCTGCAGCACTCCTCGATTGACAAGCTCGGTGGCGGCAAGGTCTGCAAGCGGCCCACTGCTGCCTGAAGTCGACCATCGACCCATGCGATGAGCTCCACCCTTCGGCCCTTCAGCCCTGCGCGCGCGCAAGCGGGACCAGGATGGGCCGCCCTTAACCCGGCTTGAAGTTTGAATACTGTGATCACCGGGGGAGCGTCTACACAACTCTTCGTCAATTCTGAAATAACGCCTGTATTGCTCCACTGGCCATCAGATTCAGAACTGCTGCGGCATCAGACTCGACCACTTGGTCCAGGCCTTTAGTGACTTTGCAACTTGCTCAAGGCTTGCACTGCATGATTCGCATCAGCCACTGCCAATGTCACTCATGACGCTTCTGGAATCTACATTTTACAGCATGCTGACTCACGGTTTAACCTTACCAAACCTCATGCGATTTCAAAGCCATAACCTGCCTTGACTTGCCTCAAATGCATGAATTGCAGTACGCTGTCCTCCAAGTTTTGACTGCATTCTGAGTTGCAAACCTTGCAGGGCAGCCTTGAGACGGCACAGGAAGCATTGCTAGTGCCGGGCGCCAAGTCTCCCTTCCCATCCCCAAACTAACACTTGGTATCAGGGTCTGATCAAGAGCAAGGCCATAAGTCAGCAAGCTCAGGGCTGAGCAAAGGTCTCGGAGACCGCTCGATCGCTTAGTCGCCCGATCCAATCCATTGCACTAGCCTGATCGGCCCAACCCTAGTGTTGCTCAGGAACTGCATTACCAGATTTGCAAGCAGCAGCCTTTTGCTTGCAAGCCTGTGGCAGTGGCACAATCTGTGGGGGCCCAACCATGTCTGCGGAGACTTCATCCTCATCACACAAACCTTAGATTCAATGATCCCAGGACGTTTGTCTTGGAGGTACAAGTAAACTCGAGAGTGATACAACCGGAGTGTGAATGAGATTCCAGCACTGTACCACTTCCGCCTCAAAGTCCAAAACGCTTGCAGCTGCACAAAGCAGACTGGAACAAGAAACCTCAATCTGGCTGGACCTCTTCTGGGTTTAGGAAGGTCTCCAAGGTATTCTTCGAAGATCCTTGTCAGGACAGCAAACATTGCTGTTTTGCCGAAGCAGATTCGAGAGAAAGTTTTCCGCTGCTTTGAGGACTCTCATTTGTCCTCTCAACAAACTTGTAAGGCGAGTCGTCTCAATTCTCTCAACACGCAAGAGCGGTGTCCTCTCTGAGCCGCGTGGGCAATCTCATCCTTAGTTTCTGTCGCTGTCCACTGGACGTTTCCGAAAGTGTGGATCTGGAGATGGGTACTGAGTGACCCATCAAACACTACTCTTAGTGGTGCAAATGATGCACACATACTGATGTGCGGATGCTGAGATACATGTTCGGATCTTCAAACAAAAACTTGTGCTAGTATCAACACGAAATGTTGATTGCGATGCAACTGTTAGTACGAACAAGGATGGATTCAAACCACCCAAACAAGTGATCGCTGATTCTTTTCGAAGGACAAGAGTCGTACAGGAGTCGCTGGACCTTCAAAGCTTGGATGATTCTTCGACCGTCCAAGCTCACGCAAAACGTCGCTTGGTGCCCCGTCAGCGGCCACGCCACAAAGGTGCCCCCTGCTGGCTCTCGCCAGTGCAGCAGCAGCCTGGTGCTAATCAGGCAGGTGGGTGCACAAAACCTCTCGAAATGGTACCACACAAGGGAATCCATTGGACAATGCAGTTGAAAGATGGTCCTGTCGCTGTACATCTTGAAGACAGGATGTTTGTGGAGGTGACAATTACGGTATGTCAAGACATTTTGAGACACCTTCTCTTTCAGGGCCCTTCCACCGAATGGTGTGACCTTGTGGCCAGCAGCGTCGGCCAAGTCCTCTGCCCGACACAAGTGCTCATTGGCGGACTTGAGGGCCTAGCGCATCTGCTTCAATACGCAGGTGACTTGTCCAGGTGCCCACGTGGCCATTGGGTTCCTCTTTAAAGCTGTATGTTCCAATGGCAGCAGATGTATTCTGAAGGCAGCTGCTCAAACAAGTTTCCCAAGCGCAAAAGCCAAAACCTCTTTTAGCACTCTGGTCGTGGGCACCGTCTCAAAGGTGACTGGTAACAGTTTGCACATACATGGGGCGTGCGGCAATAAACACAAGGCTTGGAGGCACACCAGGATCCGCACATCCAAGCTTCGCACTCCTCACACTGCATCATGCTATGTACAGCGCAGTTTTGACAAAGGCCGAGGTCTTGTTCACACACGCCTCAGCGACTTTTGTTGAAGCAAACCTTGCTGGCTTAGCTTATGCGTGCTGATGCTATGCCTGAGGATTGCACCACAAACCTCAGTTGCATCGTTCCTTCTGCATGTCCTTGATCAAGAGCTTGGTGCATTTGTTTACAGGATGCACATGCGGACATGCATCGCAATTCAAAGGACGGCTCAAAGTAAGAAGGCCACCAGCAGCTTTCACCGGAGGTAGAAGCTTGCGGGATCTCTTCCTCAACATGTTTTTCGTGCTCTGCTCCTCACAGGCAAGGACAACAAAAGCACCGGAGCACAGCCATCCCACAACCACATGCAGTTTTTCTTCAGTTGGCTATGCTTGAGTAATAGTCACAGGGCTAATGCCTCTCCTTGTGTTTTACTTTGAAGAAGCATCAGCACCTCGTCCATGACTCTAACTCGAACCCACTGCCCATCTTCCACGCAGCCACGGCATGTCGGACATGATGGGGATTGCTGCAACCAAACTTGCCTCATGACACGTGTAGTTCAATACAACGCTTCCCTCCGCAAAACACTAAAAAGTCTAGCTCTTTAATCTCTGTTTTGCGAAGCTGCTTTAAGCATAGAGGGTTCACTGGCATGCTACATTGGCAAATCATGGAGCACAGTATACCAAACATTGCGTGTTCCAAAAATTCCGACCAGGGAAGTCTCTCAGGATCCTTCAGTCAACTCGAAACTGCCAGTCTATGGCCTTACTGCCTGCACGTACCGAACAAACAAAACGCTTCAAGGTGGCTGTACTACTGCTTGCAGATCAGGCACACACATGTCTTGCAAAAAGCATGGCCACAGGGAACAAGTGCTACACAGTGTCTCAAGGGGCCACAACAAATGGGGCAGTTGGCCGCAGCAGGGCTGTCTTGCCTCAACGTCTTATTTCCAAACCGGGCTCGTGAGTCCATGTCCAGGTTCCTTTTTAAGACCTTCAGACGTTCATCCAATCTGAATTATATTTGCAAGAAACAACGGATAGACCTTTCTAGGAAAACTCACCAGGCAGGCTCTAAAAGACCAGTCGCTTGGTGGTTGAGATCAAGACCTAGAGTTCGGGTTCTGGGGTTCCAGCATTCTACGGACTTCTAGGGTTGCAAGTTGCAAGGTTTCAGGTTCCGGGTTCTAGGCAAAAAGTTGCGAGCAAGGCCAGGCTTCCAGAGTTTCCAGGCGCAAAGTTGCAATCATGGCCTTGTTGGAAGAGAAGCAAGAACCCCTGTAGCGATCCAGCTTACTTGCGATGGCCTCCAACCTACTGATGGCCTCCAACCTAAGAGCGATGGCCTTCAACCTACTTGCGATGGCTTCCAACCTAAGAGCGATGGCCTCCAACCTAAAAGAGACTGCCTCCAACCTGCTTGCGATGGCCTCCAACCTAAGAGCGATGGCCTCCAACCCTGTAGCGATCCAGCTATCTGGAGAAGATAATGTGAATTTTAGGGATCCAATCTACCAATTTTCAGGCAGGAACGAAACACATACACAAAAACAAGCTTGCCTCGAACTTCCACAAGTCCACAAGCTTCTCTTTGTGTAGTAAGACCATGTCTATTCAGCATACTAGGCACAATATAGATCTTCAATAGATATAAGAACCATTTCGATTCAATAGATCCAAGTGCCCAGGGCCAAGTATGCACCGACATGAACGGCCTAAGGTGCGTGCGGCCTTTGGCGTTTTGGACCACAGCTTGGACGTGTCCCTGTCCCGCTGACCATCGCCTGTGCTGGGGGCCAAGTCTCCTTTAATTGGGGGGACTTGAGCCAGAACGCCTGCTCGCTGCATCTTGAGCCAAGTAAAATGAGAAACCTGCTCGCTGCATGTGCGTCAGTCTTCTCAAAACTAAAGTTGCGCTTTATCATCATCGTTTTCTCATGGACTATATATATTTTTTTATAGATATATATATATATAGTGTACAGTAGTCAAACAGCAGCTCTCGACAATGGCTTGCTTGCAAGGCCAGGACCCTCAATTATCCGTTCACACTACTGGCCTGCAAGGGAGCTGCGTGATCTGCTGGAGAATCTGAGCGGGACCAGCTGAGATGTGTAGCTGGATGTGTGAGCATTTCAGATTGACTCGAAATCTTGGATGACCATGCCACCCTTGCCTGGTGTGTGCCATGGTCTTTTGAAGTCTTCGCTTACTCGAAAACCCTCACAAGCCTTCAAGTTTGTCCAATGCCACGCTCGCTACCTTGACATGGGACTTTCTCGATGGTGACGACAGTCCAAGGTGTAAAATGTTGGGTTAGCCCAAAGTGCCAAAGTGTCTCCGTAGCTTCTATGACATGTCATCACTAGGGCTCCAGCAGCAGACTCGGAGAGGGAGATGGACACCATCATCATCAGCCTGGGAGCATCACGGACATATATATATATACATACATACATACATACGTCCTTTCGCCAGCAAGAAAGCACACTTTGCTAGGGTATGAACTCATTTAGGAGTGCACTGCATCCTCTTTGGGATCCTGCCTCACAATGACGCTTCTCCGTACTGCTGATTCCGCTAGGATCTCTCTTGGAAAGACCCCAAGAGAGTGGCTCAAGAGATTGCATGTAATTTTCATTGAAATATGTTTCCAGTAGTTCCTCTCACTCACTAAGATGTCTCAAGATGAAATACATGAAAGACATTCCAAAGATTTCGGCCTCGAGGATCTGCGGTGGCACACTGCGCACACTGCGCTCCAGGTGCCAGGCAGCCTGCAGCCGCCATCGGTGAGGTCGGACCTCCCAGGTGTCCAAGTCGTCCAAAAATGCACAAAACGAGCCAAAGGCAGAGATTTAATCTCACAGGCAAGAACCTCTAGCTTCGTCTCTGATTGGGTGTGATCTACCTTGACACTTGTGCGCACCTTGCAATATTGTCTAGCATTGAGGTACACATTGAGAAGCTTTTATCTTGCAACTCGATGACTTACACATAAAGCAGTGCAAGGCCACAGCCTCATCGCCCTCGAAAAGATTCCACCTGAATGTCGTCGATAAATAACTTCTTGACGATCAGGAAGAATATTTGACTGAGAGACTATGAACACAAAGAAACTCCAAGCCTGAGGTCCATGTCTTCCTCTTCCTGTCAATCTAGGCTCAGGTTGCATCCCAACATGTTTGGACTGTGACACTCAGCACCTCTAAATCAACATGATATGGGTTCTTTCTACCATACAATACAAGAAACTAAGAAGCTATATATTGTTTCCAGTGAGTTGCAGCCCCGAAACTGTCGCATTGGTCTGCGTTTCAGTGGACTGCTCAAGCAAACCGAAGGTCAGCCTGCGGGTCCCTCAGTGTCCCCAGTGCAAAGGAGCCCGGTCATCCGCTAATATCTTCGGATGTTTAACACATGGGTATTCACAATTTGTCAAACCCAAAGATGCAGGTAGAAGGGCCCAGTCTGATCAGAGAGAAACCGCAACCGTGACACAGCGTGACATGTTTGAGGGCGTTCAACAGACACAGAGTGGCCTCGGTGCGAGTCTCAGCCCATTCTTCAAGCCTGCAGCTGACGAAAGTCACCAGCTGACAGTGGCGATCAAGAGAGGACAGGCTCGACAGGCTCCATTCAGGCTCCATTAAGTTTCACCAAAGCATAACACAAACGGCTCCTGTGAACCGTGCTGGTGGGGCCTTGCCAAGTATCAACCTCTTCTATTGCCTTTGACCTGTCCTGCGTCTGAATTGGGCAGGTGCCTGGCTAGCTGATGCTGGAGCTCATCCAAGACACACTCCTCGGGCTGAACATGCATCGGAGAATCCAGCAGGTTCAGGTGAAACGTGCCTTCGATGACTCCTCAGGCATGTTGGTCTCCTGCGTGGAACATGCCAATGGTGCAAACGCAAATTCCAAAGAGAAATGTCCCTTGCACCTTTTGCTCATCATGTGCGAAGGGTTTCCAAGAATACACGAGCATGTCTGACATTTAAACACTACTTCAACGTTCTAGTTTTTGGGACTGTATCCTCGTTGGCAAACAGCAGGAGCGCGCGTCCAGATAAATACCTTGAAAGGATAGTCACGACTCTTTTCGTTGTGGATTGGTGGCCCCTGCACCAGTGCCAAGGTTTGCACTCAAATCTCAGCAGCAATTCCTTCCACGACGTGCAGTGCATTGATCACTCATACACTCGTGGCACACGGATGCACCTCTTTGAAAGGAAGTTGGGAGAAGAAGGGCTGCAGGTCGGGTCTCGGCCTAGCAAAAGTGGGTTTGCTTGTGGGCTACATCAAACGGAAAAACAAGGCTCTCACGTGCTGTCCAGGGAGACAAAGGTCCGTCCCATCTGAAGCGCTTGCCAAATCATAACCTGGGGGGAACAAGATGCAAGGCTCAAGCTCCGAAGAGACACGTAGAGTCTCTCAAGAGACTGAGAGAGATAGATGTGAGGTGCTCAAGAGATTGGAGTCAGTTGTGGGCTCGTTGGAAACAACGCGACAAAAACCTTTTTGGTGAGCTTCTACTCGCTCTAGCCATCTCTTCAGCTTGTTCGCAGACTCTAGCACTTCTCCAAAATGGCCTCTGCAAATGTGGCCGTGTCGGGTACCTCATCCCCTGCCACTGCCAGCGCTTGGATCACATTGTCTTGGACCAACATGGCGAAACGCTTCATGCGTGGACCTCCCAGCTTCTCTCGAATCGTGGGATTATCCAAGACGAGGTCCAAAGCCTTGGCCATCGTGCCCTCGGTATCTGCGAGGAAGGTCACCATGGAACCGTCAATCTTTTGATCCTTGCCCCAAGCTTCCATCACTGCTCCATCGTTCACACTGCAGACCAGGACTTCATCGACACCCTTGGCTTTCAAGGCCGATTGCTGGGCAAGAAATCCCGGAACGTGCTGATTGGAACAAACTGGAGTGAAGGCGCCAGGAATGCCAATGACGATGGTCTTCTTTCCGGCCAACCGCTCAGTCGTGTTGACCTCCAGAAACACAAGTGGCAACTAAGCTCGGAAAATGATCGTGTTCGATTTCCCTTGGGTTTTTCAGTCAGTCGAAAAGGGGATACTGGACACCTTTGAGCGCTTCGCAAGTTTCAGCGCCTTCGCTGGTGGAAAGCCCAGATGCAAGTCCACGGTGGGGAAGCGATCGCCGATGGCAGCAAAGGCCCGGCGACCGAGAAGCGGTTGCCGCAGGTGCTTGGCCAGCATCACCAGAAATCTACTGACTGCAATCTAGGGCTTTTGCCTGATGCTAAAATGCTGCAAACGCCTTTTCAAATGCCATGGCTCCAACATCGATGCTCTACAAGAATGCAGAATGCAGGCTGCTGGGAAGATTGGCTCAGTGCGGTGCCTGTCTTCTCTTTGACAAAGGGCCTAGAACCAAGCAAAGTGCAGAGAATGTGGCATGGCTATGCCAGATCTGCAAGGTATAATACTGATACTCCAGCAATATTCCACAATTTGATTCCCATTTTAATTTTTTCAGTCCTGGCCTTTGAGCAAAAGCGAAGCCAGCTGTAGCAGCACCAATGCAGAGATGGGAAGAGCCAACGCTTCTAAACGCTTCGTCTCCTCCTTGGAGGCGCTCTTCAGCAAGTCCAAGGCATCACCCGCTCTCTTCAGCGCGACGGTGGCGGGCGCCACATCGGTTGGAGCACAGCTTCTCAACTCGGACGGCCATGGTGGAAGAGCCACAAAGAGCGCACTCACTGTGCTCACGTTGGAGACTGCCCGAGTCCAAGGGAGCATGCGATACCTTCAGGGTGCGCATTTTGCCTCAACCGGTTGGATACTGAAGTCCTCACAGAAATGTTCAATCCATTTGAATCCTCTGTCTTTTGCTGAGACCATGAAGATTATCCCAAATATCCTCCCACCTTGGACGCATGCTCAGGCTCAGGTCATGCCGAAGCCTTGACAACAAGGCTGCCGGCTCTGCCACGGTGGCCGCGCAAAAGGAGCCCGGCTCATCAGAGCAGTCGTGGTAGGTGTGGTAGGCTTCCAGTTCACAGAGTGCCAAGCCCAAGTGACTGCAGGCCTGGGATAAATGAGCACGACCAACAGCCAGGGGACCGCGTCGAGAACCAAAACAGGCTCAATACAATGTACAGTAATGTACTGTAACATGTATCTATATGATTCACATATCTGTGTCTGTGTCTATGTCATGTGATATATAATATATATATATGATTATATACATATATATGTATTTCAAGGCTCACAAACAGGCTGGATAGTCTGGCACTCTGAGCAGTTTCCTATTTTAAGCAGAACACAGCACATGGCGTATCAAGTTCAGAGGCAACGTTTCGTCTGCGGATCTGTCCAACAAATGGTGTACCCTGAACTGACCCAGGTTCCAACTCCTTCAAGCGGCTTGCAAAGCAGCTCTTCCGGCAGTACTTGATGGCAACCTGCGTGAGAGATTTGCGAAATCTTCCGAAGGGCTGCAAATTTATCAGTTTTTACGTTTGGTTGAAGCTGAAAACCCTTGGTGAGACCGCACGCATCGACGCACTTGGCCATTTCCCCCCCCCCCAGCATGTGCCTTGCAGGAGCACCCTCCTCATCCTCGACCTGTGGGATGTAGGTCTCCAGGTCCAAGACCTGCCTAAAGAAGCGCGCTGCATCTGGGCCGGGCCTTGGAGTCGGCTCTGAGATGCTCTGAGATACGCTGCGGGTGATTGGTCAAAATGGGTGCACAGTTGCACCAAACATTGCCAAGGTGATCGCGTGGAGGAGACAGCACGGCAGAAGAAGAGCGTCGAGATGCGGCTGCAGAAAGGTGACACGTGACACCTGGCAGTCTGTTGTGGAGACCAAAAAGCACTAGGATCCAGGTATCCATGCAAGAAAGCAGTCGACCCTTCAGGGTCCTTTCTTCCAAGTTGTATCCTTCATTGCACAGTCGATCTGAGCTCTCAGATCAGGGCAGGTCATCCTCGATGACATTCCCCAGAAAACGAGCTGGGCAGCTTAATGCCTCAAGATCTGCAGCGTCCACCCGATTCCAGGGCTTCGTCGCCAGGCGCTAATCAATCACCAAGGTGGGCACGCGACGAAAGCTGGAGGGCTCATCCTGCAAATTGGAAGGCTTGAAGTCTCCCTTGGAACCCTTTATTTCGCTGTGCTGCCCCATTGGACAGTTTGCCCTTTGCCTCGTCTGGAAGCTCCAGGAAAGTGTTTTTCAAGACCAAGCCGTTGGCATTGGGTCCTGAGCCCACAAGCGAATGCTGATGGGACACCGACACCGACACGTAGTCGTCACAAGGCTTCAACCAAAGACTGGCAACGCAGAGCCTCCGCCTCACTCGATCAAAACGGAAACGACGCATTGAACGGGTGCTGGAAATATACAATAATCAACTAACATATCTGATGTCAAAACATGTTCCAACTAGCACCTTTGATTTTGAGAAGCGTTTAGAAGCATCTCTATTTATTTAATTGTGTTCAACATCTCTGTCAACTGTTCATTTTTTGCTGCAAGGCATTCAAAGGATCGCACTGCCTTCGTCTTGTGGGTAGTCATTTCCGGACAACCTGAATGTGCAGCGTTCTTGCATCTGTGCAGCTCTCGCTTCGCTCATTTGGACCGCTGAGTGCCCAGCTCGAGCTTTTCAATCATTTGTTTCACTAAAAGTGAATACAAGAACTAATCTTTAAGGACTCAACTTGATAAGCTTGAGGGATGCATCCTTTTTGTCCTCTTAAGTCAATGTCCATCGGACTTGTGATCAGCACGGAGAAGAAAACCAAACAAAAAAATCGTCCAATCTGGCACTGTCCTTCGACAACCAATAGCTGCAGCCCTCCAAGCGGCACCTCGAAAAGCGAATCGCCCTCATGATGCCGCACACTCCAAAATAGCTTAAGGCTGCCACTGGCGCTTGATCCAGCGCAACACCTCTAAGGTCATCTGGACACGCCGGCCCAGCTCCATTCCTTAGAAGGTGAAACATTGAAAAACACGAGCCAAGAAGTGACTTAAACTCAACTGAGGCATCCTGTGTGGGCTCATCAAGGCCAAAGGTCTCTCTTCAAGAAAGCGTTGCAACTCAGAGAGCTTGTAGATGGAATAGGACCTTCAGACACTGCGTTGAATGAGCAAAGTTCGACCTTTCCTGTGTGCATCTCAAAGTCTCGAGCCTAGTTGGATAATGGAAACAATGCCCTCTTCTCACAAGAAAGAAATGGGGAAGCAAACGCCCCTCTTCTCACAAGTGGGCACTGGGCACTGAGCTGAACAGCGCCATCGCGGTGAAAGCAAACGGCAAACTCTGGAACGCCGGCCTCAGCTCTTGGAAAACTCCAAGCGAATGTGCAAGCGGCCGGCTGCACAGCCACCTTTATCTGAGGGCACGACCATCAAGCATTCAAGCCAGTGTTCCAAAAGTATGGTGTCAGAGATCATCCTGTCACCGTGCAGGTACCTGAGAGGTATAAAAAACATGTGTGAATCCAGAAATTTCCGCACCAGGATGATCGGACAACAATTACTAAGAACAATGAGGCTGGGTAAGACCGGACAACTGCTACACTTGCATGTGTGATCTCCACACCTTCAAGCGAGTCAAAAAATGAAGCCATCCGCCACTACAGCCCGAAAAGCTATCCTGTGCTGCATCGGAAGCCTTCGGGTTCAGGCCTGTCCAACTGATGCTCAAAGCTAATTCGCCCAGACACAAAGTCAGCTTGGGGTGTTCTGAATTGCCAAGGCAGAGCAGGCGGCTCCCCACCACCACAGACGCATCATCTGCCATCTTCCAAACACCCACCTGTTGGTCATCCAGTGATCCCAGGTCTGTAGGTCTGCTACACAGCTCTAGGCCTGATGAAATGATGCAGGAGGGCCATCCAAAAGCACCAGCTCACCCTGACCTTCCAAGCTTCAAAGTTGTTCTCAGCTGCCAAGCTCTGAGCTAGGGCGGCCGCATTTTGTCGGCGAAGGAGCAACCTTCACAAGGAGCAAGCTTCTACAATGGCTCTAGGCCCAACAACAACAACAACAACAACAACGCAACCCTCTAACCGCTAACCAGTTCAGATCTGCTGCAACTCATAGGGCTCTGATGCCCGGATGCATGTAGTATTGGGGTTACAATTGGCCCATGCAGTTGTGCTGTGAGTGAATGGTCTGGTAATGCCTCTTGTTCTTCATTCTCTGCTGCGATGGGCTGAATGAGCTCGTCCTAAACAGCACAAGCTTGCGCCGCTTGCGCTGACCGGTGCTTACCAAAGCTGCAAATCTCAAGATGTCCTGAAGCTGTTGAATGGAGTGACCCAGAAAGTTCCGATACAACTGCGGATCATCCTGCGCTGCGGCCCAAGAAATAACGAAAGGTCTATCTTGATGCTTGAAACGCTGGAGAGGGCAAATGACGAACAAGCGACTCGGATTCAAGCATCAACGGTCAAAAGCTGGTGCAAACTGACCAAAAGCCAAAAGAGCATTGGTTTCCACAACCAAGTGACAAACAGGAATTGGTGTCCCGAATTTGACAGTCGGTGACACACAACTAAGTATCACATAAATAGGTGCACAAACAGGTAGCAAATGTCGTCACAACAGATAGAGTCACTGTCACTACAGTCTCGACTACTACGACTACTGCTACTGCTACTGCTACTGCTACTGCTACTCCTACTACTACTACTACTACTACTACTACTGCTTCGCATGGTAGCTTCTGCCTGACAAAAAAGAGTCGCAACAGCGAGCGAGTGAGGTGGGTCCTGAGAACCCAATGGAGGTGAATCCAGTGGTTCCTCCTCAAACACCTGACCTGCCAACGAAGGCCGAAATCCAAACTCTACAACACAATCAAGCAAGGTCACGGTCACTTGACAGGACACGCCTGGATCTGGGTCTGGAAAATCATCATAGGTCTCTGGTGCAGGTGCTTTCAAATGTTCACCTCAAAGGTGAGACAGGGCAAGAAACAAAATAGCAAGCATGTTGCTCAAAAAAGACAAGTACTCAGTATTATCTTGAATGAGATCAAGGGTTTGTTGCTCTTGTTTGCCTGTGTCAACCAGCTTCAAATGCTCCGGACTCCTATCTGAAGGTCGAAGCAGTCACCAACCTTCTATGAATCTGGCTCTCTATATTTATATATATATATATGTATATATATATCAACTCTGTCTGACACTGTTGCTTTCATTTTCCATCTGCAAAGCAGGTGTACACACAGTTCCGCCATCTTTCAGCTGGAACTGACACAACGCCACCCAGCAGATAGGGCTGGGAGGGAAACTCGGGTGAAGCTTGAGAAACAGGTTGCGGCATCGTAGATAGAAGGTCATCAACTCTGTCTGACACTGTTGCTTTCATTTTCCATCTGCAAAGCAGGTGTACACACAGTTCCGCCATCTTTCAGCTGGAACTGACACAACGCCACCCAAATCTTCCGTTTATGCCCGAACTGTTCAAGCTGCTTTCTGCTGCGTGGCGGTAAAAAGAAGGTACCAAACTTCTCGGGGGATCTTTGCTTGCTCAAAAGCCCAGGCTTGCTCGAGGAAAGTAGTAAAACAAAAAGCGAGTTCAAGCACCTGTTCACGCACACTCTTCTCCAGGATAGAGAGGAAAGATGTTGCGGCCACTTCTTGTATGTAGATACTCATAACCCTGTAGCTGGCCCAACGACCTCGCCTCATGACGAGGTCTCCGCTTTCCGTGGTCTGAAGAAGGTGTGTGGCTCCTCCTGGTCTCAAAGAGCCGAGGTCTAGGGCTCGTACACCTTTGTAGGTCTCCACGGGCAATCGCAATGCTCTGAAGATCGAACGGAGTCTATTCCGCATGGTTTGCGGGCTCCTATCCCAGAGAAGTTCAGATGGTCGAAGTGACCTAAAAGCCAGCTCTATCGTGGACACCAAGTCTGGGATGTCCAGCTTTGAGCATTGGTGCCTTGCTGTGCTATGTCTGGTCTTTGGCTCGTTTATGGCGAGGAGGGCAAAGGGAACACTACCTGCAAGGTCTGAAGGAAGTTGTAGATCTTGTCTTCTGGCTTGAAACAACTCTCCAGCCCTTAAAAGTCCTCCCCAGGCCATTGCTAAACATCCAGCCATGCGAACCCATCCCCAGGCAAAACAGCAGCTCAAGCATGCCATCAGTACTTGCGCCGGCATGGCGGTGTGGTGAACCGCCGGTTCTGTTTTGACCCAGCTATACGCCAGGTCCCAGGCGCCCTGAAGGGTCCGGCGCAACTGTGGCTTCCAACTGGAAATTGAGTTTATCGTCTCAGAGAAATCATTCAGCGGTCGGCCCGCTAGGTGGAGCTCACGCCCATAGGCTGTCAGCAGTGTGTTGATTTCCTCTATAGTCTGGTAGGTGTTGACAAAGAGGTCATCGACCACAACACCACGTCCTTCCAGCCACCTCGTGAAGGCTGACAGCAGCACCTCTCTTCGCTTCTCAGTGACCTTTAGCACAGGTCTGCCAGTGGGGAGTGGCCCAATCCTCTTTCGGTAGTCAGCTCTTCTCTGGTCTCCCGGGTTCCGGGGTTCTATCGTCACTGCCATGGCGCATCGCGTCCCCCCCAAAATGGCTCCTGAAATCCAAAAGGGAGGAGTGCCTCGCCCGCCCAGGAAAGATGAAGACAGGGGAGAAGCAACAAAAATCCAGAGGAGAAGTAGCAGAGGGCCCTCACCTGGGAAGCCGAGTGTGCTATCAAACTCTCGAGGGAAAGCGCGGTTGAGGAAGGATCTATATTCCCAAACAGGCGGCTGCCTAAACGAACTCTGATCTCTGAGGCTCAACAGATGGGTCCCGCCCACCAAAACTACAAAACGCAACCAGTTGGCGGCTGTGCTCTTAAGACCCTTATGGCTTGCCACGTCCTCCCACTCCGAGAGGCTCAGTCTGAGAGTGGCACCTTCGCGCACTGGGGATCTAAGCTCAACACCACGAGTGGGATCGTCTGAAGGGTTCAGACGAGTAGGACAAAAGGGCAGACACAGGTACTGGCCTGCGGCTAAGGAAACTGCATTGATCTTAGCTAAAATCGGCATGAGGCCTCTGGACGATGTCCGTCCTTTTGAAACCGCACATCTAACGACGTTCGAATCGACGAGAATGGAGGTCCTCTGGGGGGAGCCTTTCCTTGATGCATGCTCAATCGCTCTGAGGACCGAGACAGACTCCTGAATATTAATGTGCGAGGCTCCTTTGAAGGTCCATTTCTTCTCAGTCTGCCAAGGCGCTTCCAGAGCAAGCTGATTCACCAGAAGGCTTTCAAGTCCCGCGGAAGGGGCTCCGTCCCAGTCCTCGTCGAGGGCCCTCTTTGCCAAAATGGCATCATGGAGCACCAGAGCAAGGTTTTGTGCGAGGTCGTCTGTATACATGGCGCTGGACTTTGTGTACTGACCCTGCACTTGCAGGTGCTTACCTGAGCACCTACATCTCCTCCTCACCCTGCTGAGCGGGGCCCAAACACTGAGGAAAGCGAAAGGCTTCAAATGTTCCGAACCAAAACAACACGAGTCCGACCTACAAAAGTCAGCTCCTTTGGCCCCTTGGAGTCTCTTGTAGGGAGGCAACGCTTTCAAACGAGAAGAAAAAGGGGTCTCAAGCCAGCCCGGTGTCCCAACCCTGTGCCCCAAATGAAGACACTGGAGCCCTCTCAACGCGAGGACTGTGCCTGTTTTGGTTTGTGGGTCTGCGGGACAGAAACCATACGGCTCCAGCTTCGACCTCAGTTGCGGTCTTCTCATTATCGAGAAGGTGGTGCAGGGAGGTTCACAGGCAAAGCTCTCTATACTCTTAGTGACTATTAGGTGGCTCAACCAACTCATGACATGAACCGCCGAGAGGTCATATTCCGGACTGAAGCTCAGGTCGATGGGCGGGCCTACTGACCACCCGAGTTGAGACATCTGTTCCGTGACCTTTGAGGACCCCGCAAAAAGCTCGATGAACGCGAAACGATAGGCCAACGGCCTACGGACATTAACCGGCTGCGCTGCCGTTTCAAGCTCGTCTTCAAATGACTCGGAACCTCCGATGCGTTTGATGTCCGACTCAACCTGCGAAAGGAGCCTCGTGTAAGCCCCCTTAGATTTGCATGCTTTCCAAATCACCGACGACAGGTCTCTAGGAATCGATGCTGAGCAAAAGGCGCCCATCCTGCTGGAGGCGTCACTACAGTACAGCAGTGTGTTGAAATCGGCGCTCAAGTCTGAGCTCGCAAGCGGCATCAGGATTGCCGCAAGGACAAACTCGTTGGCAACCGACCTAGGCAGGCGACAAATCTTTGGGCGGTTAGGGTCCACTACTGAACCCTGCACAAGATCGTAAACCCTATGCAAAAGGCCCATGAGAGGCCTGCGGAACATGAAGGCTGACGCCCAACCTCCGGTCAAACACACATGTAAGACGTCTGTGGTGTGCGTCAAGGTGCACAGCTGCAGACTGATGACTGAAAGTGCAATACGCTTCTCAATAGGGGCGCCTAAGGTAACAACACCCTGGGCGCGGGCCTCCGCACTTGAGTTGCATACGGCCCCAACAATCTTTGCCTTATCGGCCAGCACGTCCTTCTCAGGACTTCCCAGAATCCCAGCCTGCTGATAGGCCTCAAGGGCCCGATCGATCTTCAGCTTTGCACCCGAGGCCTGCAACGGCGTGCCCAGGGTCTCAAGGCTCATTGCAAAATAGTCGTCAATACAAAGTCCTTCGCAGTTTGACTGATCAAAAAGGGGAGTACAACTTTGTAACCTAGACTTCTCATCAAGGAGGCCTACGCCTTTCAACAGCGACAGGTGAGCACTAGTAGCTACATCAACCCCTGTGTGGTCTCCCTGGAGGATCGATCTAAAAGCAACGAAAAGCTTCTGCGGCTGGCCCTTTGCAAGACGCTGACCTTTCAGGCCTAAGCGGTCTCCGTGAAGACCTCTGTGGTATCTGGACTTCGCCTGGCGTAGGAGGTACGCCGAGAAGGCATCAAATTGTTCTAGCTCGCTCGCATCGACCGGCGGTCCTACAGTGTTCGAAAAAGCACGGCTATCCGAAACAGCAAACTGGTGATAAAAATCCTTTCTGTCAGCGATGGCTTGGGCTATGTAGTGGGTCCTGGGGTTACAGTACCAGTCTAAGAGGTCGGGGCCACATGGGAGGAAGGCACTGGGGCCCTTCACACGGCCCTCGCAACTATTTCTCGAACGTCGGTCGCCGATTTGGCGGTCCATCTTGACATTCTTGAACGCATTGAAGATGCGGGTATAGCATTCAGGATGCTCATCAAAAGCTCTGCCATCATGGATGAAAAGCAGGCCTTGCTTGTCCCAGACTGATGCGAGTGCGACTATCTCGCTAGGATCATCGGTAATCAGCGGCACATCTTCTTGTAGGGGCTCATCTGTGAAGAGGAGAGATGCTGGCTCACGAAAGGCCAGAACCAGTTCATCCTGCAGGAACTCTGTGGCGTCCCATGCTCCCCTGCCAGTCAGGACAAGTCTCTTTGCATCCAGATTCCTATAGGGTTTCAGCTCTTCTGCGTCTGTGGTTGGAGCAACCTCAAAGCCATTGAACACCTTGTCATAGGGATTGCAAGAAGGGCCAATGGACGTTAGGGCTTGAGATAGCTCCGAAAGTCGTGCAACTAATTGTGGAAGCCTACGACCAGAGCTAGCAATACATTGAATCGTAGCTTGGCCCTCCGCCCTGATTAAACTCCGAATCCTCTGATAAATGCCCTTATGGTAGGCGTTCGGAGTTCTCCCCAAGGCCTCCAGGCTGCATGGTCCTCCAGCATGGTAAAAGTTCAAAGCCAGAACAATGATGTGGATGGCCCGAGCAACGTGGATCTGCCTTCTCTTCCTTGAAGAAAGGTCTGGGGGCATCCGAGCCCAAGGCTCACCCGAAGGGAGCGGGACCGGGAACATGGACGGTGACGCACTCTGGGAGGTGCGAGGCAGATGGAAAGTACGGGCAAGAAAAGCAGCAAAGGGTGTCCTCGTCCTGAGTACAGCCGATGTCAAACACGCGCACCACTTCGGGAGCGACATACGCTGCTGAAGCGCATCGAATTTTGCTTCATGGTTGAGCTTGCTGGGCTGTGGTTGGCCGGCGTGATCATCAGGCTGGCCTCTCCATGAATTCTGATCTCTCCCCTCCTCCCGTGGCGATGACTGTATGTCACGTGGTGGAGGAGACACATGCATAGCCTTCACTGAGCTGCTTGGCCACCGCCTCCCTTTGGCTTTTTGGGGAAGCGAGGCCTTTTCTTCGGTGAATCGCCCTCCTTGGTTTCTTGGCTGGCTGACGCCCCCGCCTTCTTGGATGGACTCTCCTGCTTCTTGGAGTTCATGATATCCAGGTCCTTCAGGTAGGCCAGCAATACGGCCCCCCATGCAACTGGCATCAATGGGCTGAAAGGCTTGGACACCGAGAGGCTGGTTCCCTTCTCTGCAAACAAAGTCGCTGGTGGCTCCTCGGCCAAAGTTACCAGGAATGCTGTTGACCATCCTTGGTCCAAGGCCGCCTGATCCAGAGCCGTGGCGAAGAGGGCAAGGTGTTCTCTGACACCATCGAAGTCTTGCGCAATTGCAGCATCGACGATATACCCAAGCACCCAGAGAATGGTACCGATCTCCTTCGACTGCTTGTAGGCACCGTGCCTCTCCAGATAGGCCAGGAACGAAAGATCGGAATCCTTTGCCATATCTGTGGAGGTTGGCACCGGGCGAGAGGGGTTCATCCTCCTTGACAGCTGCTGAAGGAAGGCGAGCCAGTAATTGCTCTGTCTGAGTGCCAGGTCGCTTTGCATCTTCTCCCGCCTGGCGACCCCCCGGGTTGAGGACGAACTGGAGCTGATGCTTCCTCCTTGCAGGTCTATCAGCGGGTCTGTCGAGTGGCCCGCAAGGTGCGCCACCAGGCTGGTCAATGCAGTGCTCTGCAGGGACAGCGCTGCCAACATGGGGTCCGCCGCTTGTTGGCAAGGGTCTTGTGGCTCGTCTCGAGCGACCTCCTCCGGTAGAGCAGGGACTGCAGGCTTCTTCTGCGTCTTTGGGGGTGGCCCCAAGAGGGATGCTGCTGCCTTGACGGCCGCATCCTTGGGCCGTCCCAGATGAGCAAACCCTTGACCCAGTGCCGGCATTTGTGGATAAGGTCCAAGGCCTAGACCAAGCCGTTGTCCTCCTGCAGGCGCGGCAGAGGGCGCAGCAGTCTCGGGCCTTGGTCTTGGCATCTGTTGAAGTGCCGTCAAAGCTTGTACCTGAGTAGCCAGCGCAGCGACTTGTTCTGCCAAAGCGGCATTTGTGAGTCTCTTGGGCGCCGCCTTCTTCGGTTGACCTGGGGTCCTGGGCGCCACACTCTGAGTCTCCAGCTCTTCTCGAGCCGAGTAAAAATTTAGGCGAGATTGTCCCAGGTCTTCAGTCCACTGCTTTGCCAGAGATACCAAGGAGGCCGAGAGTGGCAATGCCGCAGGATGATGATCGTCATATGCTTGCAGTTCCTCCAGTGAGTCCGTCACCGGATCATATTCTCTGAAAGCTTGGAGCGCTGAATCAGAAAGGTCCACCAAAAGAACTTGAACTTCGTGATCAATGCTATATATCTGACCGAATTCATCTTCTTCACAAAGGCCTACCGTCACCACGTACGAGGGACCCAGTAGGTCTTGATCGTCTGCTTGCTGAGCGGCTGACAGTGCTTCCGATGAAAGGGACTCCACTGGCAGGGCTACCAAAAACCCCCCCTCTCTAGACAAAAGGGGCTGTGCATAGGCTTGTCCGTTCTCCCCCGATTTTGAAATCTCCGAGGGTATTGAGAAAATTAGGAGGCTAGGTTCCCCTACCTCTGCAAACCGGATGCTGGACTTGTGCATCGCTTCAGTGGGGGCACAAAGACCCTAGCAGCAACACAAAAAGTTTGCAACTCAATGAACGATGCGAACTCCTCGATGATTGCGGTCGGATCCGAACTTGCCAAGGCACGGAGTGCGTCCCTGCGAGTGGATGCGCGCACGGTCTCCTTTAATCCTAACCCTCGGAGGACAATCCAATGCGTGCTCGATAGGTGCGGGACAGATCCTGCAGGCCGGTAATGCGCCCCTGTGGCGATGGCCAACCAGGCACTGTGGCCTAACTCAAAAGCTCGCTTGGCCCTCTCAACAGGCGTGATGGACGAATTGGACCTTAGTCGCTCGCTGCACAAATCAATCAAGTACCTTGGTACGACAGGCTCGATGTCCCTCAGTGGTGAGGTGGTTGCACCGGGATACGGGTGAGCTAGGTCGGTGACCCCGATCGGAAGCGATCCCTCTTCGACTAGTTCCCAGCTCTGGTCGGCCAGGGCGCTGCTCTCAAGAGATCCGACCCTCTCGACCAGCCTAGCAAGCCTCTCGCTCAGGGCCCTCAGCTCAAAACCCACCTGAACCAGCTCTTCCTTAATCGACGAAGCCGAGGCCTCAATGCTCATGCAAGTAGCCGCGAAGCCGGCTTGTGGTTCTATAGGGCTGGGGCGTGAAAGATGCCGGAGCCCTCAGCAAGTGAGGATGCAGAAAGAACACAAAAGCAAGGCCGGCGAGGACGACGAGGGAGAGACAAACCCCTGACAAAAGCCCCAGGAGAAATGGGGCTACGATCGAAGGGTGACAATGCGCGGGGCAGGCGAGGAAGTGAGTAGCCTGAACAAGGGCAGAAAGACCCGAGATCCACCCTTCCATGAAGCTTGAGAAACAGGTTGCGGCATCGTAGATAGAAGGTCATATAGAGAGAGAGAGAGAGATAGACCAATGCCAACGGGAGCTGAGCTTCATACACGCTTCTGCTGCTCTTGATGCTTCAGCTAAAGCCTTCAAGGAACCAAAAGTTGTCGATTTCTGCACGGAGCTTCTGCAGCACCAAACTTGAGGTCTCACAACGTGAAGGTTCACCTTCTGGCAGAAGTCTTACTGTGATAGAGTCTCTGTGGCTGTCTTGAATTTCAAGGTATATAATTACTTGGAATGATTCATAGAGCGATCAGACTAAATGTATAAATACATACAAAACATAAAGGTCGGTAACTTTGTGGACGATAAAACCAGGCACGGACGCACTCTAGCATCATTGCAACTCATTTTGTCACTTGCGCACTTAAATCTCGTCGTGCTGTTCAGACGTCGGCTGATCAGCAAGCATCGCATCGTCCTTCGAGTGTGGCAAAAGACCCGTCCCGCAATGTCGCACAAAGTATTTCACCAAAGCAAGTCTCATTGCATTTCAAACAAGAGGACTCGTCCCAAAAAGGTTGGGCAAGAGTTGCAGCTCCCTCCTCTGCGAAATCGAACTCGTCCATTTCCTCTTCCTCATCATCTTCTAACCCTCCTTCGGTTTCTTCATCGTCTTCGAAAGGTGAATCCTGGACACGACATGATGCTGCTCAGAAATGATTTTGCGTCTTGTGTTTGTTATCCGGCATTCAACTGAAACAAGGCAGACCGCAGCTTTTGTCTGACTGCCAAGACAAAAGGGCAATGCCACACATGACATTCATGTTATTTTTGTAGCTGAAAAGGTTGTAGATATACTGATATACAGTATACCTACAACCTGTTCTGCAACAGAAATAATTGTTTTGTATGATGCACAAACCCACCGTGTCTGCAAGAACGTGATTGAAACATAGACAGGTTCTTCGAGGCGCGGCCCACCGCATTCTGTCACAACTTGAATACCAAGACAAATTAGGTCCTCTTCGGCGTCGTCAGGATCTGCATCCAGACAGGATGAACTTCCAGGTTCTCCTTGGCGGTGTTTGCACGGGGCACATGTGAATTCCAAACCAAAACGGGGATCCAAGAGCCAGGTTGGAGGTTTCTTGTTGCTCAGAAAAAGAGACAAAGTAACAACGGGGCAAAGGCAAAAAGCCAAACAAAAAAGAGACAAAAACAAAGAGTTGGATCAACCGACTTTCCAGTGGCCCATGTGCTCCTTGCACGCAATTACCTGCTCCATCTCGATCTTGATCCTGGCATGCATAGCCTCTCAGAAATCAATGCCGACCGGAGGGAGGACTAAAAAAAGAAGGGGTGTCAAATTATTGCGGATCGTCAATAATGGCCAAACTTACTTATCTCTCTTGAGTGTTTCTGTTACAGTATATAAATCCTGGCCTTCTGCGCAAATCACACAGTCACCCGGCCCTGGGCCATCGCAGCAAAGGCACGGCCACCTCATGCATCACAACCATGTGCGAACTAATACTAATAGTTTTTTTTTAGATTACACTTGTTTCTAATAGCTTCTTGTTACTACTAGTAAGGCACCTGTTACTACTAGCGTGGCACTTGTTCCTAATAAATCACGATTTCTTCAATTCAATCTATGTCTTCGTAGACCTGGTTCGATGGGAATGTTGACAAGTCGTTGGAGACTTTACATCCGAAAAGGACTTTGGAAGTTGAAACGCTGACATCTGCGGCTCACATCTGCGGCTCAAAGGTGGACGGCAATCCTCCAAACCTCATGGAAGGTATGCAAACATTGGAGAGTCGGATGGGTAGAAACGCAATAACTAATCGTAATGCACTCTGCGACATGGAACGAAATTTCAAGCCACGGTCTGATTGAAGTGCGCCAAACTCTTTGCTGCATAAGAATGCTCACAGTTTACGACGAGCGGAAGGCAAAAACCCGTTAAAAAAACCATCAAAAACCCGTTAAAAAAAAAAACCGTCAAAAACCGTCAAAATCGGTTGTCGGATTTCACCCCTTTGTTTTTGTCGGACCTAAAAGGTAATGTCTGTCGTGTATATGGAAAATCTTGTCGACCGCCATCGAAATCTTGTCAGGGAAAGAACACGTGTTCGTTTACGACTGTCATGAGGCTAAGGAAACGACTTTTATCCTCGACGTCTTCTTCATAATCATAGATATCATCAATCTCCTGAAGCGCTTCCCACAGCTGGAACCTTCTGCCCCAGTGTATAATGAAAGCTTGTGAGATTTGTTGCTGTGACAGCCCTGATGGGCCAAGGGATCATAAAACAATTATTAAGGGGATCAAAAAATATATGTATTGCCAGGAATTATTTCACAGCGCATATCCACTTGAACCGAGCGCATGCATTGAGAGAGGCCGAACACCCGACAGACTGAACACTCAGAAGCTCCAAGCTTTTCCGCACCTTCATGCGGAAGACGCCCCCCAATCAACCTTGCCTGCCTTCCTTCTTCCTTCCTTCCTTCCTTCCTTCCTTCCCTCCCTCCCTCCCTCCCTCCCTGACTTCCTTGCTTCCTGGACGGACGTCCGTTCGTCCGTCCGTCCATCCTTCCTTCCTCTGATATTGATTTGTTTTTGATCCTGATAATAATTTGTTTTTGATACCCATGCCGCCCTGACGGGCCCTGAGCCGGTAGTGATATTCCAGCAGACTCAATGAATTCCACATCTTCGTTCCTGCCTTTTTGCAACTTTGACATTGACAAACTGTTCATAGAAAGCTGTTCAAAACACTTGATGAATCACTCCTCATCAATCAGTTCTGATCCTTGAGCTTCAATCGATGCCTCAGAATCTAGCACTTCCATCCGTATTCCTTTGTTTTGAGCCCGGCACCTGTACTCGCAGCAACAGCGTTAGCACAAGCCAAACACCAGGCATGGCTCCAGGGGATCAGCATTCTTCAGGTTTGTGATTCGTGTGTCACCAATCAGATTCGTGACACTGGGATTGGACTCAGAAAAGACCTGACAACTTGATACAACTTCCTTGACTAACTTGATGACTCCATTTCCATTCAAGCCAAATCTGCGGGTAGGTCAAAACATGTGTCTCAGGAGGTCGAGAAGTACCATGGGCCTCTCGAAGTTCTTCGTCTGCCTGACTTGCAGCCTTGGAAAACCCACAGCCACCCAGGGAGGAGAGGTTCGCTGCTCAAAGTTGGGTGCGCAGTCAACATATGCATACTTGGGTTGTGTACCGGTGGTCCCGCACGCTTCCTGTTGCCAGCATGGCTACAGCAAACAAACTTGCATTTGAGCTGTAAACCTCCGTTTGTTGGCATCTACAGGCACGCAAATGCATGCGCGGCACAAACTCACATCAAGACAATGCCACATAGTGCCGCATAGCATCAGAGCACTGTCGAAGAGGTCAATATTCACTATAATTGAATTGCAAACATATGAAACCGATTGATACCCCCTTCAGGGAGAGGAAAGAGGGTGAAAGTATCAGTTTCACCTATATATCGCCAGCCAAAGAATTCCAGCAACAAGTTCAGTGCCAAATGTCCTCCACAACAATTGAATCATTGAATCAGCGAGATTGCATAGTGAGCGATGGGAACGCCTGTTGCGACTGCACGAAGGCCTTCCGCTGTTGTAAGAATACTTGCATTGCGGGCTTGGCGCACACGTGGCAGTCAGGCAATCACTTGGATCTTGGCATTTCCTGAAAGGAACGGGAGCACGAAGTGATTGAATTTGTATGTCGGGGGCAAAGTTCCTTCATTTGGACCGAAGCTCTTGTGCTCGACATCCCAGTGGCCAGAAACCAATGCGATAAGAAAAGTTTTGTGGGTCTGTGAGCCTTCTTGTGTCCGAGCAAAATGACAATGATGAGCGCAAGACCAGAACCATCATTGCACAAGTCTATTAAAAGGAAGCGAACAGAGATGAAACATAAGGAATGATTAAAGGGTGCATTACCTTTGTTCATCTCTTTTTTCTGCCTTTATTTACACAACAGCGAGCCACAAGGCCCGTGTGAGGGGCCTCCACATTGTTGAGCTGACTCTGTGAGTTGTCAGACATCTGTGGAATGTGTGAGTGACTTTTGTGAAGTAGTGACATGAATTGACGGTAAAAGGTTTGTCAACTGGCCAACTGGTTGCAAATCCGTTGCCCATCGCACATGCTACACTAGAATTGAACATGTACCCTTCCGTCATATCTCACACGTTTGCACTAAGCGGCATCATGTTGCAATACACCACGCAGATTCGCAGCAACATTTGAGCTTGCCAAATAAGCGTAGGCGATTCAGCGGTAGAAATTGTACGCGACGAAACCAAAACGTATTTGTGCTAACACCAACAATGAGAATCCGGCAACTTCAGCATCCCAAAGCATGGATCTAACCTGCAAAGTCCATAGACAAAGAAAATGAGGAATCAACACACAAATCACTGGTGTGATTCAACAATCAGAGTTCCAACAGAAGTCCCATACCCTATACATTCTCTCTTGTTGTGCCTTCTCCAAGTACTGCTGTCTTTCTCTGGACTTTGCCTTTGCTGCCTGGACACCGCAATCCAGGCCTATTCCCGAAATGTGGAATCTTGAAAACAACCTTTACTCTTCTCAAGCATCCTGAAACTACCAAATCTCGGCATTCTTGATCCTGAAACCTAAAGTATATAGTTCAACTGGATCTGATCTTCCCCAAAGCCAGTGAAGGCGAACTAAACGCGAAGGCCTCGACTTTGGCTTGACACGCCCGATGAAGTTGTTCCGCATCGCGGACCCGCTCCGCCTCGGACTGCAGGTCGGACCTCCCCGTTTTGAGGTCAGACCCGTTTTGAGGTCCACTTCTGGTCCACTGGGGTGTTCACCCATAAATCCTCATCTGGTCCACTTCTGTGCGGGCACCATGACAACTCACTTCCATCATCAATCACCAGCCTTTGCCATGGAAAAGCGTGCCAAGAAGCAAATACATCTTTACAAAAGCACTACTAGGAACAAGAAGCTACTAGGGGCTCCTGGCATCGCTACTAGGAGCAAAAGGACACTACATTGAAATGTCCAAGGAGCCAGTCGCCCAATCGGTGCACTGCAACTCCAACGTCGGACTCCTGCCAGTGACCAAGTGAATGGACTCCAACCCTTCGCCCGTGGCCAGTCCGTCACTTGAGCCCCTAGTAGCTTCTTGTTCCTAGTAGCGATGCCAAGAGCCCCTAGTAGCGTCCTTGCTCCTAGTAGTAAGGCCAGGAGCCCCTAGTAGCTTCTTGTTCAGTCCGTCTCAAAGGATGCACGGAAAATGCTCTTCATCGCAGTTGCACTGCTCACGAAGTCCACACCTTGGAGGGGAAACTGCAAGCCTCGAAAATAAGAAATGCCTTCTTGTGCGCATCTGTGTACACTGTATGCATATAAATACTTTTTTGGGGGTTTTTTAATGCCGCCTCGTCCCTTTCCAGCTCCGTAAAGTTTCTGCCTTTTCCACCAACTTTCTTCAATCAAATGCTCATGCGATAACCCACCACTCCTGTCCATGGAGTTGTACATCAATCCTCCTCTCCCTTCCAACCGAACACCCAAATTCCGAGCCAAAACCCTTGCCACACCTACGTCATGCGTCGCTAGTGCCCATAGCTTCCTGATCTTCCTAAACAAGTTCCCGGCCCTGCCCAAAATGATTCGCGTTGTCCGCCTAGATGAGAAGCCCTGTCTCCATCCAAAACAGGGGCAATCTTGCGGTCCACAAGCATTCCAGCACAGGGCAAGGTCTGCCTCCCTAGTGCAATTCACGTGCAAAGTGAAACGACCAACTGTACGCCATTGGAAGACGGCTAGACTGGGGTAGTCTGGCCCAGGAGTTCGTTGCATCAGTCCTCAAGCCCTTGCAGAAGTTCGCCCAGCCCTTTCAACTCGGAAGGTTGGGGTCGGGGTCAATGGGTGGTGGGCAAAAGGGACGACCTATACAAACATCTTGCACATCCTCTTTGGCCAAGAACAAAGTACGCGCTCCCAAGTTGCGTGGGAGGGAGGTTACGGACGAGCTACCTTCCATTCGCATGAATCTCAACAGCGCCCTGCTGCAGAGCTCCGCATCAATGAAGCAATGATGAGCGGCTTTGTCCTCTACCAATTTCGGATCCATATAAAGGTCCTTCTCAAGAAGCCTTTCCACAACTGGAAGTTGCGAAGGCGGGCGCTCTCACGCTTGCGAACGCCCAAGGCAGGCTTCCTGAGCAGTGGTGCACGGACTCGAAAAGGCCCTGCCCGAGCTCCTGGACTTGTGCCTTCGCATTTGCCGAACTGCATAGCAACTCTCCTTATCTGGATCTCTCTCTCTCTCTCGCTCTCGGCGTAAGCCTGGTGGATACGACTGACGAGCCAAACGGTGCACTTTCCTTCTCTGCTTGAGACCTCCGCCACTTCAGCTCTTCGCGGACCTTTCTTCCGCTCTTGCGGAAAATTGGTTGGCGCCAAAAAAGCCTTCCCTCCGCTCCTCTCCAGCACACACACACACAGGTGTCCCAACTCAGCGACATTGCGCCAACAGTGCCTCTCAGCCACCGCCAGCTCCGTGCCACGCGTGCGCGCCAAGGCCACATCTCCGTGGCCCAGCTGAGTGGAACTCTGGCTGCTCGCCAGGCACTCCGGCGCAGAAGCAGCAAAGCCCTCACGCTTGCAAAGGATGTCCGCCAGGACTCCCACCCCCACACGCACCGCGTCAACGCCCAACATCAACTAACAGACTACCAGCTGAGAACCTTCACAGTTAAGATTGCAAATGAAACAGGTGATCTGACAAAACTACCAAAGGTCTACATGTTGTGTTTTAAGACTACGACAGCAGAGATTCTGGGCATCACCAAATGGCCTCCTAAGCATGCAGATTTAAGGATCCCCACGAGGCTGGCGCTGCGCTGTTGGGATCAGAGTACTGCTGGGAAGTTCCCCGCTGACCTGCTCAAAAGCATGCCGCATAATCAGCTGCACAGCTCTATGAGCAAGGTTAAGTGAGCAAAAGCTTGAAGCATCTTGAAGCCATTGCAACTTGATGAGACAACATGTGGGAAAAGGAAGAGAAAGGTCTGTGCCTCAAACGGGTTGGTCTGTGAGAGCCAGGCACAATGTGCTGCCTGTCGCAAGTCATGATCCTCAGCACAAGGAAATGCTTTCATCCTTGGAACTTCATGTGACTAAGATTCAAGAACTCCAATGGTCATTGTCATTGTCATTGCGTCGCGTCCTTTCCCAGCTCGCCCGCCCAGCCGCAAACCTTGCCACACTTTAACTCAGAATTGACTTCTCGGTCTTGTACTCACGCCTTTGAAGAGATGCTTTCGTATCTGGAGCCAAAGTCCTTGAGAAGGTTGGCTCTGGGACACTGGATCCAGAAACCTACCAATACATCTGCCAGGCACCGCATCCCTACAACGCAGACCTTCTCTCCAACTCTCCACTCTTCGGACCCTCCTCATAGGGTGCTGGCTCGCAAGAAATGAAGGGTGCCTGAGCTCCACAGATCTTGAACAGGGAAAATCAACGAGCTGCATCGCTCCTTTTCTCATCGTGGAAGGCAAAATCGAAAGAAATAGTCTGATTCAACATGATTGAAACAGTCAAAAGCAAGCAGCAAGTGATGTGCCCTTTTTCTCCCAGTGTGAAGCCCTGCGAGGCTCAGCAAGCTCACTTTGCGCAGGTATCAAACTTGGGAACGATAGGAATTGATCCATCGCTCTGCAACAGAACGATTTGGGTATGCACACCAAGCAAAGCATGGACGATTGTCAAGATACTCAAGGTCACGCTGGTTGTCAAATGCTTCCTGTTCTAGTCGGTTCCAAACATAGGAAAGCCTAGCGTCGCATTGACAGGCGCAGCTCTGATAGCCACGGCGCTGAACGCACATCAGGCCCTTGAAGAAGTCAAAGACCCATAAGAGATACATAAAAATGCAGCACAT